GCCCTCTTCTGGCATGTACAATACATAGTAGTAAGTACTATGTACATAATAAATAAATAAATAAATAAATAAATAAATCTTGAAAGAAAGAAAGAAAGAAAGAAAGAAAGAAAGAAAGAAAGAAAGAAAATGTTTAGAAAAACAAACCTCACCCCTAGCCAGGCTTCAGTCTCTGTACACCAGGGGCAGAGGAGATCTACAGTGTAAGCCAAGCTGTGCTGCCCAGTGAGAGTCTGTCCTAAGAAAGACTGAAAGCCCCACAATATCCTGCAGTACTCCTGTTTGCCCCAAGCAACTTCACAGAGGCCTGGCAAGCTTGGTGACTTGCACTCCGACGTTCACACCTGCACTGTTGCATCTGTGCACATATATTAACAATAAATACTCTTAAAAGGGGTGTAGGAGATGGCTTTCTGCGTAAAAGATGCTTGCAATCAGGCCTGTTTAATGCTTCCACCCAGCTAGAACTCACAGCTCCGTTGCCTTTAGAGTGAATTTCCTTCTCCAGCTCCTGGGTTCCTTTCCCAGATAAACAAACCCAAACATCTGGAAATCTAAAGCCAAAGCCTGGTTTAGGATTTGCTCTTTTGAGCTGGAGCATGTGATTCCATAGTAGAATGTGTCCTTCGCATGTGTGAGGTTCAAGCCCTACAGGGGAAGAAGACAGAAAGGAAAGATAGGGAGAGAGAGCGAGAAGAGAAGATTTAAAAGGGACCTTGCAGCCCCAAACTGCCCAATGATCTGAATTCGAACCCTAGAACCCACAAGCTGGAGAGACCCAACTACTACAGGTGGATTTCTGAGTTCGAGGCCAGCCTGGTCTACAGATCGAGTTCCAGGACAGCCAGGGCTACACAGAGAAACCTTGTCTCGAAAAAACAAAACAAAAAACAAACAAAATAAAGCGCCACGGGGCGGTGGTGGCATATGCTTTTAACTCTAGCAGAAGCAGGCAGATCTCTGAGTTCGAGGTCAGCCTGATCTAAAGAGTGAGTTCCAGGACAGCTAGGGCTACAAAAAGAAACTCTTTCTTGAAAAAAGCAAAACAAACAAAAGGAAAAGAATATACTCTGCTACTCTCAGAAATTCTTTTTGAAAATATCTATTAGTATTGTACGTGTGCAGGGGAGAAATATTATGTGTGAATCTCAGAAGATAACTGGGGAAGTTGATTCTCGGGCTTGTACAGTAGCACCTTTATCCGCTGAGCCACTTCGCCGGCTTTATGTAGTCGTTCTGAATGTCTCTCCTGTAATTCTTCCTGTTGCTATAGTTTCAAAGATCCCACTTCGCTTTTCCTTTCTCCGGTACTCTAACAGGCCCTGAACTACTGGCCCTTTAAGATTGCCTTCTTCCCCCCACGTGCTGTCTGGTTGGGCTGGCGATGCTGACGCACGCTTGACGTCAATGGCAGCTGGTGGAGTTTGGGCACGAGGAGAGAAGTTGGGATGGGGGTTGGGGGGGGAGCGGAGCAAGAAGGCGATCATTTGCATTTAAAGGGGCCTCTCTTGAGTTAATTCGCGCTTTACAGAACTGTGTCCTGGGCAAACTTTCTGCCGTAGGCTGGGGATAGGGGCAAGAAAATGGCGTGGTACAACTTAGGTCCACGACGACAAGTTTGGGATGTCCTTCCGCGGAAAATGAGAAATAGTCCGTCGATGCCCAAGCTGAGAGCACGTGACCCGGAGGGGGTGGAGGCAGGAGCTGGGGGGAGACTACAGTAGGGTTGTGTTTGTCTGCCCCCACCCCCACATCCTGCCCACCCAACTGCAGCTGCCACCACATCCTGCCCAGCCGGGGGCAGGGAGCTCCTGTGGGGGTACACGGACCCAGGACCGCTCTGGCACCTTTCGCTGTCCCTCAGCTCTTGTCCCCAGGTCTGGTCCGGGATCTCAGCGTAGGGTACCACACGGACCTTGACAAGTTTCTGGCGGACTCTGGTACCCTTTACCCCCAACTCTGGCCTGAAGTGGAATTGTAGGACCCCAGACTCGACCCCTGCCCTTGTCTACCATGGCTATCGATGCAGTAATGAGGTGTTTAGCAGAGTTTGCACAATTCTAACTCACACGGCTGCGCGAATACATTTGCTAAGCGCGTTCCACGCCAGCTCTGCATCCCCGCAGGAAGTCAGGAGCTGGTGAGGAGTACCTTAGGAACCAAACAAATCCAGCAAGCTAGTGCGTCCTGAGGAGACAAGGGCAGAGAGTGGAGCGTCCCACCTTCACGCGGAGAAAATACACGCCCACCTGCTGAGGGTCTGGTTCGCAATCATGGTGGCAGATGCGGGAGGGATTTGGGGTCTTTGCTGTGATGATCCAAAAACTGGAGGAAGGATGACTCGGTGGCGGAGTTGCGGGTGGAGGTGGGGATTGAGAACTGTCCAGATGGCGCAGGGGAAGGGAAGGTGAGAAGAGGAGGGCCTGCCAAGCAGCTCACTAGACTAGAGAGGAAGGCAGGAGGAGCACTTTTCCTAGGTTGAGTAAGGACTGCCAGGTAGAAGAGAGTGTTGAGAGGGATGGAGACCTGCGGGGCGTGGGGGGGGGGACCTTTCAAGTACAGGTGAATTGGAGAGGCTTGAGAAGGGGCGGATAAAGGAGGGTTAAGTTTTGTTTGCCAGATAGCCTTGTGAAGATGACGCTGCAGGTGAGTTTACAGGGTGTTCTTTTTAGGACGTCGGTGGACATCTAAGTGTCTCGGCCCACGGAGATTTTACTGCAGAGCTGGAAGGTGACTTTTCTTTAGAACAGATGGGTGAGATGGCTCAGCCAGTAAAGCGCGCTTGCCATGCAAGCCTGGCAACCGGAGTTTGAGTCCGGAAACCAATGGAAAGGTGGAAGATGATCACTCTGTAGAATTGTCCTCTGACCTCTAAACATGCAGCATGATACGCTAACAAACACAATAAATTGATTAATAAGAGATGATGCACAATCAGAGGTAGGAAAGGAAACGTAAGACCCAATCATTTGCCACCCAGAGGATTCTGGGATGGGAAGTTCAAGGGCCAGAAGAAAAGAACTCAGAATCACTTTCAGGAAGTCCAATTTTCATCCAACTTCCAATATTACCTTGGCCCTTTTCAGTCTTTCGTTAAAAAAAAAAAAAAAAAGACCTCAGGATTGTTACCTCTCCTCTCCCAAGATGTTTTCAGAGTCTGAGTTTTGTCCCACTTACTGCCCCCTACTCTGGTCTCCTGTGAGTTGTCAAGTCAGCAATAAGCGTCCAGGGCCCCCACCTCCCGGGAGCTCTTGGCTTTTTCTTCCTGCTAGTCCTTTAATACCTTCCCCAGGTGACTCACCTTCCTTCCTCATTCCTTTTTTAAGGACTCAACATTCCAGGTCTAGGAGGGCCAGCCAACCAATCATAGGTCTGGAGGGACCGCCTCATATTTGAGATTGGCTGGGATTGTGGCTCGCTGGAGGCTCACCAAGTTGGTCAGGGAGAGGTTGGGGAGGGGGATTCTGGGAAAGAATTTCTTCTGGCCTTGGTTATGTTTTGAGAAACAATCTTCAAATTGAGTTGGGCCTGAGAGTTCTCTAGCTTGGATTGCCTCCAAGGTTGAGGCAGGTTGAAAACTCCTAAGGGCTTTGCTGTTCCGGCTCGTCCTGTTTTGTTTTTTCTACAAGCTGGGACTCAATGGCCTAAAGGCTGTGCTCCCAGGCCTGTTCCTAAAACATCTTTTACAGCAGCCCTGAATCTCTCCAGTCTCAACATTCTGCTTTTCCCGACGTCGGAAACAGCCGGAAAAATAAACACCCTGATGACTAAACGGTTTCTCCAGCTAGTGCCTGGGGAAGCACTAAAAATAGAGGCCACAAGTGAGGGGAGGTTCCCCACTGGGAGGGCACTTTCCCATTCTGCTCCCACCAGAGCCACAAGCAGGAACAAGGCTGTGTTCTCCGAGTGCTTGGGTAAGGGCAGATGCCTTTACTCAAGTCTTGGGGGCAAACCAGACTGCTCAGGAATACTGGCAGCTCTGTGCTGGGAGTGCCCCACCCCCATACTACTAGGAAAACTAAGGAGCAACATTTGGGGACCATGTGTGATACTATATAAATCAGGCAAAGTGGAAGGGTTTAAAAGGGAGGCCAAGGGAATAGGAGCCTAATGCTTCCTGTTTAAGAAGGTACATATATGCCTCCAAGCTCTTTGCAGAATACTCCTATTGAACTTGTCCCCTACTAGCCTTTTCGGAACTCTCCCAGTGCCTAGAAGGGCTCATTTTTAGCTGAGCAGGCCATGTGGGTCATACAGTGCAACATGAGGCACTGTACTAGTCTACTGGGAGCTAAACTCAGACCAAATCCACAAGTTATGTACCTGTCCTTCTACCTGCAGCTTACCCAAGAGGATGGAGAGTTAAGAAACGTGCTTTGTTCTCTTCATAAATAGTGGAAAATTTTGAACCAAAACAGTCTGACTCCGAGATTAAATTTTCTAACCCACCATTTGTCGTCTCTTCTTGTCACTCCCACACGAAGCCAGAACAGGGACTTTGTTCAGTAAAGCAGACCCTAGCTTGTTGAAGAATCTCTTGCTTCTGTTTTGCAAGGCTTTGAAGTCCACGCCAGACTCTGTCATTTCCTCAAGCTCCAGGTAGAGAGAGCCAGCAGAGCACTTGTTAGTGACAGGATGTTGGACAGGAAGTCTGACGGGTTAATGTCCAGAAGCAATGGAGCTAACAATCTTGTTGTGAAGCACTTAAAAATTCACCACGCCCAGAGGCCATCAGGAATTTTAAAAGATTTTTTTTTTTTTTTTAGAGAGTTACAATTTCTTGAAGACAAGGCTTCTGGAGGTTTCCTGTGAGGCAAAGGAGGTGGAGATTGGTTGGGGTCCCACCCCTTTAAATTGCCCCCTCGGTAGTTAAGTGAGCTGGGGCCCGCAGGCACTGAAAGATTAGATCAGTAGAGAATTACGCACTGTCGCTTTAAATGTCTGGGCGTCAACCGAGCCGGGTCAGGGGAAAGGAGGGGACCTGTCACAGGTAGAGGGAGCAGCAGAGCTCCCCAGGTAACCACGAGATAAAGAGAACGCGATCTGGTATCGGAGCTTTGTCACACAGTAAGTGTAGGAGCTGGGGCCTCCCAACACTCTCATCTCCCCAGAACTTATTTAGGCCCCCGCCAACTCTGGGACTGGGGTGCTGAGGTCCCCGCAACCTCGCTCCGTCCCGCAGGCGGAGGGATCTGGGCTCCACGCGCCACGGTCGCGCGCCCCGGAGGGGTGGGGCGTAGGCCCAGGGCGGGAGGCGGGGCTACTTCCCAGGCCTCCCTGCCAGGCCCCGCCCCCGCCCTACGGGGCCCTCCCATTGGCCCCCTGCTTGTCCATCACTCTCGTCTTCCCCCTCCCATCTCTCAAGCTAGGCTGCGCGGTGCCTACGTCGGCCTCGAGTCTGGGGCTGGAGGAGTTGCCTTTGGAGCCCGAAAGGAGGAAGGAAGCAAAATATCAACAACCGTCGAGGCGGCTTGGGCGCTCGGCTGCGTCCCCGCCGCCCGCCGCCGCCGCCCCCGCGCGCACCAGGGGGTCCCGGCCCTGTGGCGCCGCCCAGGCCGCGTGGACGCGGCGCCTTCGCTGTTCCCCATCGGAGCTGCGGCTTCGCGCAGCCGAGGATTCCGCGGACCGGGCCGAGACTCCCGGCGCCGTGACACCCCGTTCCCCTACGGGCTGGTGAGTCACGACGCGCGTCGGCCCCTTTAAGAACCCCTCCCCCACGCCGCGCGTCCGGGCGCAGGGTGGTCTGGAGCGCGAGGGGTGTACGGGCGCCCTGGCACGAGCGTCCCGGGCCCGGCGGAGCGGCGCAGGCTGTGGTGGTGCTGGGGTGTCTGTTGTGACAGCCGCGCCTGGTACCCGAGCCCCCGCCGCCTCGCGCCTTGACGGGCGCAACGCACGTGGCTCCGGCCGCGATCTCGCGCCCGTGGGGGCCCCCTGGGTCGGGCGTGTCAGCAACGCCAGCTGGAGAACCCCTGAACAGTAGTTTGCAGCTGTTAACATCTGGCAGGACCTCTCCGGACCTCCCTTTGGTCGGTGCGGTGCGGGCCGAGTCGGTGCAAGTGGGGTTGGAGTTGTGAGGCTGGCCCAAGGGACTACGGGTGCTTCTGGCCTCCCACCGCAGAGATGGGGCAGGGAGGCCTCCCAGAGATTCCATGGAGCCTTCGGGGTTCCCAGTGGCCCCGGACTACCCAGCTTGTCCTGAGTGCCAGTTCTTCCTACGACTGACCGGCGCATTGGGGCCAGGCTAGGGGAGTACAGTGGGTGGATCTGGTACCCTGCCTTACCCGTGTGAGTTTCCTCCGAGGCCTAGCTGTGTTTGGCTGTGTGAGTGGTGGATCTTCCCCCTCCCCCTAGCCCTCAGTGGGTCTGAGCTGCCTGACTGTGGGAAGTTTGCCGTCTGGGACGGTGACCTTGGGCTGCTCTGGCCGGATCTCGGAGAGGAGCCTACTGAGTGCATTTGGCCTTGGGAGCTGTCCACCTTCGGTTCGTCTCTCAGTATCCGCGGTAGGTATCCGTGGAGGGGAGCACTGGTGAGGTACCTGTCAGTGTCCTCAGACACCCAGCTTCTTGGCTTCTGGCCACCAAGCCCCAGTGTTCAGCCTGGCTGTCCCAGCTCCCATGGCCTTGTCTGTGAATGAATTTCCTTCCTGCGTCTTCCAGGATGGGGGTGGGGTGGGATGGTTGTGGGAGTGGCTGAGAATCTTGTAATGTAGGGTGGTTGGGGAATTCTGTAGCTTCTATAGAGCACTTTTCCCATACACCCCAGAAATGGACACTGAGATGTCAGTGGTCATGTTCTTTGTAGTGACTTCTGTGCCCTTCATACATATACCATGTGTGTGACTCCTGCATGTACTTTTAGGGAGTAAGGACTGTTCATTCATTCCCATACCTACCAGAGTGGTAGAGCATTTTACTTAAGATCACACTTAAGATTTTTTATCAGACTTTAGTCTTCCCTCTTTCTGCCACGTATTCCATGCAGGGAGCGACTCTTAAGATTAAGAATGAAGACAGACAAGCCTTGCTCATGAAAGCGTGAGCCTGGATAAGAAACAGGACCCAGCCAGAAAGTATGGGAAGCCTTGTGTTGGGGGATGGGCATGGGGCTTGTGCTGCCTCTGCTAAGCCCAGTGCCTGGAACAGGGTGTGGGGGACTTGGACAGGAGGCAGGTGCAGGTTCCCCATCCCCCTCTGTGTGGTGATATGGGGCTGGAGGGCCCCAGCTCCCTGCTCTGGCTCTCTGGCTTCTAGTGCACCTCACAGGCTGGGCGATGTGACAGGCTGGCTGGCTGCCGTTATATAATCTCTCTCCAGCAGGTTTTTTTCTTTCTTCTCCTGGTCTTCCTTGGTGGTGTGTTGGGAAAGGTAGAGGGAGTCTCTCCAGGTTGGGAGCTGGACCAGGGGTTGGGGTTAGGCTCACTGAGGCCACACTCTGATCCTGCTCTAGAAAGGGGCCTCTGCAGCATCCTTGGCTTTTATGTCCTTGGCCTGGACCTCTGTCCATCTTTCCAGCTTTGTCTTCTGTGCCAGCAGAGTTTCCTATCCTCCATGGTTGCTCTGGCCTACACAAGTCCTTGGGACACTTTGCCACCCACACTAGAGTTGAGTTGGTAAGCAGGCTGGCTTTTCTCTGTTGCCTCCACTTGTCTGTCCCCTACCTAGACAATTGTGTGGCAGGGCCTACAAGGAGAAGAGCTGCAGGCAACGGGGACACGATGGGTCACAAGTACAGTTGGTGTTGTCTAGGTTCCCTAACGGGGCTGATGATCTGAGGCCCAAAGTCATTGGCAAGGGTTAGACTTAGGGCTGTGGGTCTGTGGTGGTGGGCTCTGCCCACACCTTGAGACCTTGGCCAAGACTTTGTAGGTTCTCTGAAGCCAACTGACCTGAGAAGATTGCCTGCCTTTACAGGGAAGTGGGAAGGAGGCATGGTCGCATGCTGCACAGCCTCCGCATCTCTGTAATCACTGGTGGCTTTTATGAGGTAGTCATGGGGCCAGAGTCCAGCTAACCCTCTCTGTCCTCCTGTCCCAGTTTGGTGACTTACTCATTGGGGAGGGGGTGGCATTAGCTGCTGGAAGCTGTGCTATAGAAGCAGACATCTGGCTGTGTTGTAGCTGATGTTGTCCTCTATACAGTTAAGAGAAGGCTGGATGGAGCTTGGATATCAGAACTTCCCATTGAAGCCAGGTTAGGGGAAAGATAGCTCTTAACTTGGTCAGGAAAAAGAGGGGAATCTCAGGCATTCTCCAGTGACTCTGCTAAAAAGGCTTTTGACCTTTGGCCTAGTGGGCCATTGCTATTTGGCTCCTGGAATATTTTCTCATCTCTCCCTGCCTAGGACAAAACATATTCTGAGGAGTTGTCCTGGAGCTGGGGGAACACCTTCCCCAGAAATCATGTTGAGGGTCTCCTGGAGGCCCAGCTGCACCTGGCAGTCTGCAGCAGGTCATGGGACACATGCGGGAAGGTGTGCAGCGCACCCTTGGGGGTGTGACACCCACAGAGCAGCTGTTGCACAGTGGGGGTGGGGGCAGTGGTGGTAAAGATGATTAAAGGATTGGAGAGTGGGGGGTGGTGAGGGACTGGAGGCAGGAAGGCGAAGGCTCACAGAACCCAGAGAGCCTGGGCTGGAAGCAGGGGCTGAGGTCAGAGCACAGATGGGCAGGCAGGGCCTGTCTGTGGAGAGCATGCTTTGTGAGTCAGGGAGTCCTGGCTGACTTCCACCCTCCCTTGCTGCTCTGTTCCCTGGCTTGCTACTGCCCCCCACCCTGGCCTGAGTCCTTGGGTAAGTTGTCCCTTCTCCCACCTCACTCTTAGCTTTCCAGGTGTGCAGGAGCTCCCTTTTGGTGGCATAGGCATCTGTGTTTGATGGTCCATGCTGTTGTCTGTCTCCGTCTTCCATGAGTGAAGCTACTCTACTGCATTTGAGGGCAAATCCTTGGTTTAGGATTTCAAAGCATTCACATCTACCTTTTCTTTGCCCAGGCCGAATGCCACCCCTACTCTGTTGCCAATGACAGAGTTAGGCAGTACTGCTAGTATGGATGAATCGAGGCGGCCGACTGTGGCTGACAGCCCCTTCTTAGTAGGGTACTGGAGGGAGTGACCTGCCCCAAGCTCTGGCCTGTGGCAAGCCACACCCAGGCGGGACCATATTTACTCATTTAAACTTACCCTCCCTGGAGGCCCTGAGCTCTAGGCTTGGTCACTGACCTTGGCTTGGTGCCCCTGGCTGTTCTGGGGCCACTCCCCTAGCATTGGGCAGACAGCATGCCACAGGGAAGGCGTGTCCTGCCTGTCCCTAGCTGTCTCCTCCATCATCACCAGCTTATCAGGGTGCATGGTTCAGACACAAAAATGAGGACTTTTGGGATTCTCCAGATCAGGGCTACCATTTGTTGTCTCTGTGAAGATCCTAAGCTGGGCAGGCCTCTGTCGACTACAGGTCTTTGGTGTTGGAGAAACTGAGGTTGAAAGACTAAAGGGTTATTTAATGAAGTCCATTGAGGGCTCTTGTCAAAAAAGAGATCTGATACCAGGAGGTAGTGATGCACAACTTCAATCCAAGTCTGGAGAGGCAGAGGAAGGTGGATTTCTGAGTTTGAGGCCAGCCTTGTCTACAGAGCGAATTCCAGGACAGCCAGGGCTACACAGAGGAAAGAAAGAAAGAAAGAAAGAAAGAAAGAAAGAAAGAAAGAAAGAAAGAAAGGCTAGTACAGCACTCAGAGGTCGTGTGTGTGTGCGTGCACGTGTGTGTAAAAGAGAGAGAGAGATGGAGGAGGGAGGGAGAGAAAGAGAGAGAGGGAGGGAGAGAGAGAGAGAAGGAGGGAGGGAGGGAGGGAGGGAGGGAGGGAGGGAGGGAGGGAGGGGTGTGTTTGAGGGGAGCATTGTTCTGACTCCTGAGACTGTAATTCCTTCAGCGTTCCCCCATCAACGGAAGAGGCCCCAAAGCAAAGCTCTGGAGCAGGAATCAGCAGCACACACAGAGGTCCCTAGACCAGCTGTTTGGGGCAGACAGGAAAGGGATTGAAGGTAGCATGGGGGAGGGCAGCCTTGTCTTCCTCCCAGCCCCTGCCTTTCCTAGAGAACGTGGGTTCAGTGGGAAGTGTCACAGATGCATCTTCCCTCAGGATCTTTAACCAAGACCTAAGGTGATAAGACTTGGGCATAAGGAGTTGAGGGGCCTTTGAAGGGACCACCAGACCTGGGAGGGCATGAGAAACAAATGATCTCCTTTCCATGTCAAGCTAGCTGCCTCTTGTCCTTAAAAGTTGCCCTGCAGACATCCTAGGTCCCAGGTCCTTTGCTATTCCTAGTGATATCCTCTTCCTCCAGACTGGGTTTGAAGGCTGGAAGAATAAAGACTAAGACAAGAGGTTCAACGGGGTGGAGGTGGGGGCAGATGGCAAGGGGAATAGATCTCTTTTCTCTGGGTTCTTCCTGTTCCAATAGATAGAATGTGAAGGTAGGGGCTGTGAGCAAGGGAGCTAGAGGACTGACCTTGGGCCTGCCTGCCTTCCTTCTCTGCTGTGTTCTGTAGGCAAGGGTGATGCCTCTTGCTCTTTCTCTCCCCTTGACATCTGGACCCTCTCTTTTTGCCCCCCACACCTGCCTGCCTCTTGACAAACTCCCCTTGTATGGTCCCCATGGCAGGCATGACATGGGGTGGA